GTTTGGAACGCAACCCGGTAGTCTAAACGTCCGTTTTTCTTTATTCTTCAGTATACAAACGACTTAATAGCTACCGTGTGGCGGCCACGACGACCGCAAGTCGAAAAATGTTCATTATTATTATTATCATTTTTTTTCTTATTGACTGTTGTTGCCCCAAGTACGGGCCACATGACGCCGGTACACATTACACACTGTGTGTATGGCGGGCAAGCACAAGTCGGTTGGTACATGCGTTCTTAGGTCATAAACGCCAACAACACAACAAAGACATTCTACAGACGAATATTGTGGAACGGCACGCACTGGGGTTGGTTAACTAACGTGTGTGCCGGATAATAATATAATTATGCGGTTTTTCTATATCGATAAATGGCCGTTTTCAACTCGTGTTGCGCATTATAAGAAGGTTCACAAATGAACAAAAATATATAATAACATGTACGGTATAAACGGTACCCGTTAACCGGCGCGCCGACCAGATGTAGATCAATCATGTGCATATACCTAAGCTAATCACAGATGAAAGCGTCCGGACAGTGTACATAAGGAGTAGATTCGGGCATGGGCGACGTCATTAGGCGTTTAAGTCTCCCCGACCCACCCGTATGTATTGACTTGTAATTTTTAAAATTTTACACCATTTGGAAATCACTGCGAACGGTTTTGTCGGTTGCTCGCACTAAGACGCATGTACCTATTATATAAATATTTGTATACAGTTAACCAACAACGGAAACGCTGTTGTAATTGTCGCTGGATGTCTTTCGCTACTCCTCCTCCCACATTTTTTATTTTTTACAAAAATAAAGCGTCGTTCAATTAACACACCGCGTAACGTATACACTGTAATAAATATAAAACTTGCGGTATATCTGTTTGTGTGTGTGTGTGTGTGTCAGCGTGTTGGCCAAGTACAAAGAACTCGGCCGGCGTATACGCCACTCATTCTTTACAATTAACAATGATTTATTCGTTCATTCTTTAAACCGCGGCTGAAACGCAAGAAGAGCTCGGCCGGCATCCGCGCGGCCGAAGGCGATCGTTTCATCGATTGTATACCAGTTATTACTACCATTATTACCTATTATTATTGTTATTAGCTTTTTTTTTTCGGCTGACCCACAAGCGGTCCGCAAGCTAAACGGTTTAAAAACGGCGTCGTTCACATACACACAAAATTCGCATTAAAAAACAACACTTTCACTCGGTAAGAACTCACCGGGAAAATATGCCGTCGGGCTGTATCTCTCTAACCCACATATGGAAAATACAAAAAAAAAACGTTTATTAAACCATGATAATATTGTTATTAATAATACATTTATATGATATATAGTGTCGCCTCGTGATTTTGACAGCAAATATCAACAGAATAAATGGTGCAAAATAATATTTTCTAAATATTAAAAAATTTGTGCTTACTAATTTATGAGCTGTTTTTTTTTTAAATATCCAACGAAAAATAATGTACTCAACAAAACAAAGAAATCATCTCTAACAATAGTTTTACAAACTTTTGAAAATATAATTTATAAATATTTGTGTTTTTAGTTGTCGGACCTCGTGACTAAATCTTTGAAAATACTTTAATTTATAAATTAAAATTATTCTAAAACAAATACCGTGTGCTTTCTAAGGTCGGCGACATTATTTTTAACATTTATTAATAATTTTCATACATAACAAGTATTGTAAAAAATGTGGAATAACATACCTACATATTTATTTAAAAATATATGTTTTTTTTTTAAATTTTTATAAAAGTAAAATTATTTTACACTTATAAAATATGGATATTTTATATTTTAAGATTTGAAATATCAATGGACAGTATGCTTTTCAAACATATTTCGGCGGAGTCGTTTATTTTTTTCAAAATATTATTCAAATGTTACACGTTGAGACATTCCAAACCTACTTGTCGATAGTTTTCTTTGGGTCAGGCAACACACTACGGTCCACGTTTTTGAAATAATTTCTCTTATCGTTTTAAGTAATCTGATAAGTTTTTTATTTGTTTTTCAAACTAAAAACGGCGGAATCCATTTTTCATCCGTCCGCCGCGTCGTCTTTTCCGTGTCTAGGTATTTATTTAGTTTTAAATATATTATTATTATTTTTTTAGCAAATACTACAAACCGTCCAAACGATTGATTAATAACCTAGTGTTTGTTTGTTCGTGTGTGTATACAAATAACAGCTAAATATTTTCGGTAATATATTATAGTCTCGACTATTATACGTGTAAACACACACACACACACACACAAGGTCACTACTACTTAGAAGATGAGACGGTTTGTCGCAGCGGGATTTGTACATAAGGATACGTGGACGATAATATCGTTTAACCCGCAATGTTTAGGTACACATACTTGGTGGTACCAGGTATATTGGGAATTGTGGTGTCCAAAAAAAAAAAAAAAAAACGCCCAATATTTTCCCTGGTGCATATTATACAATATATATTATTATAATATACATAATATAATATATACATGCAATTATAGCAAGAGTCTTTTTCTGAAATCGGACACCGGTTGTCGCGACGGGCGCCCGTTAATATATATATATATATATATATAATCTTGTGTTTTTTAAAAGGAAATAAAATTATTTTTTTTCAAAAATCCCGGTCTCTCTAAATTATCATCATTAATACAGAGTGCAACAGTGTGCAGTGTAGGTCATTCGGTTAACTTTCGACCAGTTCCGCGCTCATAATAGTATTTTCTATCATCGAATTACTCAAATGGTTTTTTTTTATATCCGTTCGACGATCTCGGCCGGGCATATTTAAACGCCGCTATTATATCTAATATTATCATCATCTCCTATATGCCTGTATTACCCACTATTAATAGCCGTGGCGTGGCTCGCAGGTACGCGAATATCTATCTAATAATGATAATCGCATCTTCGGTAGATTAATATGTATATATTATGGAGAGACGATGGGACAGCGTCTTATCGTCGCTATAGGGCTGCGCTATAAGTGTGTAGCGTATCGGTCGAGATCGGCTGATCTTATAATAATAATAATATACATTTTCAGCTGTATATGTGTGTTAACGCGGAAATGGGTGCTACATCCGAATTACGGTATATAAAAATATATACTTGGTAATAAAAAAAAACCGCTGACCGACGCGACCGGACCGTGTTTTTTTTTATATCGTTATTATTAAAAAAAAAAAAAACGCGCTTTCCCATTGTTGGCTCGTACATATAATTAGACCGCATATAAGAACACCGACAATAAAACGTGCGTTGCTCTTTTTTTTTTTTAAATTTAATTGATCTTTGCTGTACCGGTGCCGTTTTTTTTTTCTGTATACCGATAAACGAACAATAGTTTTCGGTGTGTTTACACACTGTGCAGGTATGTTGTCTGTATATAATGTCGCCCCGACGCGGTTTCATCAATCGATTACTGTGCAGGGGGAGGGGGAGGGGGCCGACCAAAATGATATTGTATATTAACATCATCCACCCCGTAAGAACCAAATTTGACGACATTTGTTTTGCTTCCCATGCGGGATATGCTTTAGGACCCACTGGATTATTACCGACTATACCGGGCCGGGTAAATAGGCGTATATACCTATACTAGAGGTCCACATATATATATATATATATATATATATGTATACTTAGGCATCACGACGGTCGTTCGGCCAGACCGGTTTGATCGACGTGCATCATCCGCCGTTTTGGGCCACAGCTATAATATACAATACAGGGTGATTCTTTTTCTTTGGCCCTACACTAGTTCTCTCAAAAAAACTACTTTGATTTTTACAAAAAAAAATTATTAACTAATAATTTGTTTGTATATAAAATATCAACTTATTGTAAAATACTTTTTTTTTTTGTATCTCCCCCCACTTCTTCGGCATTGGAAGTGATAGACGTGCGGTGAAGAGAGTAAAATATTTTTTCAGACTTTCCAGTCTTTTAATTGCTCTTATACTTATCGTTTATTAACCACTACTACAAGCAAGTTAAACATTTTATCTATCAATGTCAAGATCAGTCTGATCAAGTGACCACGAATCGTTTTAATAACCGTACAGCGATGTGCTTTTTATATTAGAAACTATGTTATTGCGGTTTTCTAAAATTAATATACTTTTAACATAAATTATTAATTCAAGAAAAATGTGTATAGTTTACAAACAAACGTGAAAAGTTTATCATTTTTGCAAATATTATGGTGCGAGTCATAAAAACATGTTATTTTTCGGTTTTCAGCTTCGATGTAGCATTATTTTATACCAATGTAAAGTAAAATAAATATGAGAAGGAATTTCACAGCTCAATTCAACACCACGATACTATAGTATTTCTTTTAAATTAGGTTAAACAATTTTCTTGTAGGTCATATGCAGAGCTTTATATGCAATATTCGCGTTTACCTATGGTCTTTTGTTTCGTCATTTGCTCATGACAATAATTGAGTAAATAATAATAGTTTGGCAAAACATATATGCTTAAACATACCATACGAATGCTTGTTAATGGTGTCAAGTTCTATATTACTATAAACCACAGTATCGTTACAAGAAAACCATTATTAAACTTTTTGTAGATAATATTTAATATGTAATATTTCTGTCGAAAATTATACTTGTTGAATAATTTATTGCATTTTCTTGTTGTATAAGAACGCATTTCTTCATTATATTTTGTATATTTATATTTGTTATAACATATAAATTTAAATAAATTGACACGACATACCGCATTTCCATGGACATTTTATAACAAAGAATTACAAGAGGAGGAAGAATAAGTAAACAGAAATAGTTGAGATAGAATAAACTATAATAAAATACAAATTTCCTTATTCGGTTAATATTTTTTTTATTGGTAGACAGGAATAATATGTAATAAACATAATATTATTTATATGATAGGTAACAAATTATATTGTTTGGAATAGTAATTAGTAAAATCTGAAGATTGAAACATAATAATAATAAGCAAAGATGAACATTTTAAAATATACACATTATATAAGTAAGCATAATATGTATTTTCGGAATGTGACACAGCTCTTAGATACTGCAGGTTTGTAGGTAAATTTCACTTTCGTTAGTCTTCATGTAATAAAAAAAAAAAATATTAAAATATTGTGTAAAAAAATCGTTTTAGTTATAATTAGCTTACACGTGAATTTGAAATCAAAATAAGTCGCGCTCCTTTATTAATTATTAAGTACAAGGCGTTTCCATTTTAAATAAAATCTTAGTACCTATTTATCTACTAGTATCTATTGTTTTAATTTCGAAAAAAACTATTGTTTTAAAATATCAGATATGTATAAAACAATTGTTTATAAAAGAAGTTTAAATATAGTAGTTAAATATTTTCATATTTATTGAAAATAATTTTGAAACTGCTAGTATCTTTGTAAAGCACAAAAACTTTTATCATCATTCAACTTATAGTCATTTGGAAAACTAATGATAAAATTGCATACTGAATTATACTTTTATAACTAGTCCAGTCAAAATAAACATTTAACCTCGGAATAATTCGCATAGAGCAGAAAGTTGGTACACACCTCAAGTACATAATTATAAATGAAACCTATTAAAGTTTATTTTAGGGTCTCAAGAACTTACTGTTCGGTCTTGGTTGTTGGGGTGGTGGAGGTGGTGGCGGTGGTGTTGGTGGGAGTGGTGTTGGTATTACTGCTCCTGGTGGTAGAGCTTGGAGTGGAACTGGTTGTAAATATGGTTCTGGACGTGATCCTGAAACATAAAAAAATTACAAATACTCGTTTTTACAATTTTTTTTTTTAATTTTCAAGTATCTACATATAATAATATAATAATTTTTAGTTGTTGATCCATAGCGTTCAAATTTGTTAGCCACTAATTATTTTTTTTTAACATTTTAGACTTACGATTTAATACAATTATACGCTTATGGACATGATAAACTTATTTTAAAGTGATAGTATATTTGCAAAGCACAACATCTGATATTATCATCCAATTAACAGTCATTTGAAAAAAAAAATAATAAAAATATATATTCAATACCACTTATGCCACTGTCCGCACCAGTAGGTTCAGCTGAAATACAAAAAAAAATAATTTACATTTTTTATTTATCATAATGGCATCGTATGCATATATAAAACTAATATCAGCTCTCTAAAAAAAAATGTATTCAGAAAGCTAATGAAAGTTTACATAATATGTGAAGTTTCAAATTAGGATCCCCGTAAAACGCTTAGAAAAACAAAATGAAGAGGTAAAAATTCATAGAAAAGTTTATAAAACGAATAAAAACGACCGCAGTATTCGAAACGTTTGAAATTATTTTAATGGCAGAAGATACTAAAAAATAAAATAAAAAACTATATCTATTTTACCTGCATGCGCTATAATAATAATGCAAAGCAAGGCGGTTCTAGTCAAAATTATTGTTTTAAAATCCATCTTTTCAAGTAATACAAAGTAAAAGTACAACACCAAAGAAGTTGGTTACTGTACTACAGCCAACAACATATTGGCTTACATTTATTTACAGAGATATGTGCTGCACAACATTTAAAAATATTTGTCTAGGCGAAGGGAATGGTATACTTGCATTGTGTACATCGTTTGTAAATGTGTTTGCCCGAAGAAAGTACATTTCGTGTACTATTGTTGCGAATAAAACGCGAGAACAACACTAAGTGTGTAAACACAAACTAGTTCAAAACAGCGAAACTACACATTTTTTTTTATTGTTTCAGCATCTTATTTATTTGCGTCAAAGCAAATAACATATGAGTAATACGTTTTACACTAGCGGTGTAAAATGTATAGGTTAAACTGAAACCGTACATTTAATTTAGTATTATAAAGGAATAGATATTGTTCAAAAAAGACTATTCAATGTCCGAAATAATTCAGTTTATCAATAGTGCCGTGTTGTTTTGACATGTTGTTTAACAATGCATGTATATTTTATCATTACGCACTAGGGTTGTACATGAACGTTTTTTAATAAATTAAGCCCGGCCTTTTTTATATTTTAGTTTGATGACGATACACTAAACAGTTCTTCTTAGTCTATAGTCTATACATTATCACAACTATTTAAGATTAACAATTTTACAAATGTTGAATACAGCGTACAGTAATGTTGTGAAAAACAATTAAAACCATTCCAATTACGGATGTACACAGTCATTCCCTGAATCCCGTACACTTGAATCGCGAAAATACCATTAACCCGTCTTACCCATTACATTTGTTTGTTACAGTTTAAAACTAAAATTAAAATAAACACTGTTATTTTACCTCCGTATTTGAAATTAATTAATTCAATATATTTTCATTTAAACATTTTTAGACACCCGTTAAAACCTGTAGATACCTACACTGTCACATGGCAACCTATAACTTTGTTACGGTCATAGTAAGATTTCCTATTAACTATTATTGTACTATAGTGAAACTAATATTAAAAAAAAAGTTATGGCTTGCCGTTATTTTAAGTTTAAAAATACGATTGTTTCCAATGTACATTTTTTCATGTTTTTTATAAACTTTGTACATGAAAAATTCAGATCTGCGGTTTACCCGGCCGAAAAAATCTTAATTAAAATAAATTTAAATAAAAAAAAACAAAATATGATCACTTTAAACAGGTGTCTATAAAAATATTGACTCGAATTTTTACACTTCTTACAATATAAATTACCATAAAAGTTAAAAAAAGTCCCTTTCGTTTACAGGTTTCGTAAAGGTTTCGTTATGAAAACTATATGTGGTGCGGTCGAGCGCGATCGGTTTCCAGGAGTGAGTGGTACCGGGTTCAAATCCGGCTCCCCTCTCAACAATTTTTGCATTTTTTTACCTAAATATTTTATAAGTTTTTAGACTTCTTGCATTATAAATTACCATAAAAGTTGTAAAAAAAAAATGCAAAAAGTGTTGAGAGGGGAGCCGGATTTGAACCCGGTACCACTCACTCTTGGGAACCGATCACGCTCGACCGCACCACATATAGTTTTCATAACGCGTTACATTTTTTCTCGGCTAGGTCCCCTCGCCCACCCGCGATAAGGAACTTCGTTCCAAAACTTTAAACTTTAAACTTTTTGTAGATAATATTTATATTATATTGCTATAGAAAGTTATACTTGAATAGTTACATAATTTATTGCATTTTCTTGTGGTATAAAAACTCACTCCTTCGTTATATTTTGTACATTTATATTTGTTATAACATATAAACTTAAACAATTGACACGACTTACCGTACTTCTATAGACATTTTATAACGAAGAATTAAAACAGGATTATAAGAGGAGTAAGTAAAAGTAAAAACAAATAGTTGGAATAAAATAAAATATAACAATATACAAATTTACTTATCTGGTAAATATTATTTTTATTGGTAGACAGGAATAATATGTAATAAACATAATATTATTTATATGATAGGTAACAAAATATATTGTTTGGAACAGTTATTAGTAAAATCTGAAGTATGAAACATAATAATGATAATTAGTAAGCATAAGTATTTTCAGAATGTGACGTCTGTGTCCAGTGTCAGAGATACTGCAGATTTGTTGTTAAATTTCACATTGTCATTATGCTGCATAAAAAAAAATATATATATTTTAAAATATTGTGGAATCGTTTATTTATAATTAGCTTACACATGAATTTTAAATCAAAATAAGTTGGGCTCCTTTATAAATTATTAATTACAAGGCGTTTCCATTTTAAATAAAATCTTAGTACCTATTTATCTACTAGTATCCATTGTTTTAATTTCGAAATAACTGTTGTTTTAAAATATCAGAAATGTATAAAACAATTGTTTATAAAATAATTTTAAATATAATAATTAAACATTTTCATCTTTATTGAAAATAATTTAAAAACTGCTAGTATCTTATCTTTGTAAAGCACAAGATCTTATTTTATCATCCAACTTAAAGTCATTTAAAAAAGATTGATAAATATGCAGTTTATACTTTAATGACTTATATAAGTTTTATTAGAGTCACAATAACTTACAATTCTGTGGTGGTGGTGGTTATTGTTGTGGTGGTGGTTGTTGTTGTGGTGGTTGTTGTGGTGGTGGTTGTTGTGGTGGTGGTTGTGGTGGTTGTTGTCGTCCTTGTGGGTTTCTTGGCCACAATGGACGTGCACCTGAAACATATAAACTTTTAGTTGTTGATCTACAGCGTTCAAATTTGTTTGCCACAAATTATATTTTTTAAACAATTATTCAACTAGACATCCAATTTTATACAATTATATGCTTATGGACATGTCACATGATAAACTGATATCATCATCGAACTTACAGTCATTTGAAAAAAATAATAATGAAAATGTATATTGAATTTATATAAGTTAGCAGTCTCAAAAACTTACCTTGATTAGGTGGAGTTAATTCAGGATGAGCTGAAATATCGAAAAAAGGTACTTAAATATTTTATTTATCCCAATGCATCCTAATGCTTATTGTTTTGGGGCTATGTACACAGTTGTTTTAATTTATATTCGATTTGAATGGAATTTCAGGTAGATCATTTTCAACATTCATAAAAACTAAATATAAAAAAATGCAGAAAATTGTCACTTTTTTTTTTGTTTTTGTGCGTGATCTAAATTGATATAAATTATAAATTTTCATAATAAAAACCCGAAGTCTATAATAAATCAGAAATTGTTTTCGACATTTTTTAGAAACAAACGTTGATTTTAATCATGTTTGTTAAGATGAAAAGAACGTTCTCAATTTTTTTTTTGGATTATTTTTTTATAGTATCTTCAGCCATTAAAAAAAAAATGTATTACAAATCAGATTCATATGTAACATAATATCAGTTATCTGAAAAAAATTGTTTTTTTTTCGCGTAACTGAAAGTCTTTTAAATCGAGTTTATAATCTTAAAAGTTGAGTTTTTCGTATTGCCCAAAAATTGAGAATATTTCTAAAATTGTATTCAGAAAGCTGAGGAAATTTTACATCATATGTGAAGTGTTAAATTGGGATCTCCGTAAAAACTCTTAGAAAAACAAAATAAAGAGGTACAAAGCCATAGAAAAGTTAAAAAAAAAACTGATAAAAACGACCACAGTATTCGAAATATTTGAAATAATTTGGATGGCCGGAGGTTCTAAAACAAAATAAAAATTATAATATAGGTACTATATGTTTTTGAAATTATTTTGATGGCAGAAGATACTAAACAATAAAATAATAAACTATATCTATTTTACCTGCATACGCTGACATAATAATGAAAAGCAAGGCGGTTCCAGTTAAAATTATTGTTTTTAGATTCATTTTTTTTTTCAAGAAATAAAAAGCTTCTTCTTATTCTTAAATAAAAAATTATGAATTTCCCGGTTTAAAGTTAAAGTACAACACCAAAGAAGTTGGTTACTATACAATAGTCAACAACATATTGGCTTATATTTTTTTACAGAGATATGTGCTTCACGAAATTTGAAAATATTTTTCGAGGCGAAGGGAATGGTATATTTGAATTGTGTACGTGTTTAAAAATGTTTAGCCGAAGAAAGTACATTTCGCGTGCGTACTATTGTTACGAATAAAACGCGAAAACAACACTCAGTGTGTAAACACACTTATGTGTTTAGTTCAATACTCTAGTTCAAAACAGCGAACTACACATTTTTTTATTGTTTTAGCATCTTGTTTTTTTAAGCTTTGCGTCAAAGCGAATAACACATGAGTAATACGTTTTACACTAGCGGTGTAAAATGTATAGGTTAATCTGAAACAGTAAATTCAAACCGTACATTTAATTTAGCATTATAAAGGAATTGGTATTATTCAAAAAAGACTATTCAATGTCCCAAACAATTCAGTTTATTAATAGTGCCCTGTTATTTTAACATGTTGTTTAACAATGCATTTATATTTTATGGTTATGCACAAGGGTTTCATATTATACATTTTTAAAAAATTTAAGCCCAGCCTCTTTAATATTTAGGTTCATAGCTATACACCAAACACTTTTCTTAGTCTATACATTAACACAATTTATTAAGATTTAAGGGATTGCATGCGGTCGGTTTTTTCAGTCAAAACACACAATTTGTATTTCATTGCACAGACCGAACCAGTGATCCGATAAAAAATCTAAAAACAGATTTGAATTCGCCATAAAGTTTACTTATGATCGGTCAGAGTACTTTTTCAATTTTTAACTTAAACTCTTTCCAAATTTGGAATTTTATATAATATTCAAACGTATTTTATACATAGTAGGATAAAGGTATTAAAAAAGTACTCTGACCGATAGTGAGTAAACTTCATGACGAATTCAAAACTGTTTTCAGATTACTTATCGCGGATCACTGGTTCAGCCTGTGCGATGGAACAAAAAATGTATGTTATATTCCCCTTAACAATTTTACAAATTTTGAATACAGCGTGCAATAATGTTGTGAAAAATAATTAAAACAATTCTGAATACAGATTCTAAGTACACAGTCATTCCCTGAATCCCGTACACTTCAATCTGAAAATACCATTACCTAACCCTTTTTATCCATTAAATTTGTTTGGCCCTGTTTAAAACTAACACTGTTATTTCACCTCCGTATTTGAAATTAATTAACTGAATTTATTTTCATTTAGACATATTTTAGACACCTGTTGACTGTAGATACGCTGTCACATGGTAACCTGTAACTTTGTTATAGGCATAGTATGATATCGTATTAACTATTATTATTTTATATTGAAACTATTATTAAAAAAAAAATAAAAGTTCGCTGTTATTTTAAGTTTAAAATACGGATGTTTCCAATGTACATTTTGTCTAAAAGTTGTTGTCGAGTTTTCGAGGAAGGGGGGGGGAGATACCGAAAAAAAGTATTTAATATTATACAAAGTTAGTATTTTATACACAAAAATTTTTTTAAACATTTGTTTTGTAAAACTTTAAGTAGTTTTTGCGTTGAAAGAATCACCCTGTATAAACCGGGCTCGCGGTTAGGTCTCGTGGAATTCCCCCCGCCCCACGACTATATAGTATAATAATATTTTACATTGCGTGGTCAGGTGGTCACCACAAAGACGACCCTTGCACAGCCGGCATAGGGCTATTGAAAAACGAAACACCGTTTTTGATTTATGAAGCGTTTTGTAATAAAACTAATTGAACACATTACGCGGCGGCCGACGAGGAAACGGCGAATCAAAACGAAGGGGTGCGACCCCTTCGACAGAGTATTGGTTCGAAGGGGTGAGTGCTTTCCTGTTCCGGAAACATCATGGCGGGACCCGAAGGATTTCCACTTGCGCTTCTCAAAAAAAAAAAAAAAAAAATGACTTTTCAATGGCTTTTCCCCGAGGCCGAGGCCAAGACGTGACGTTAACGGTCGGTAATAGGTTTTCGAAAAAAAAAACGCGTTATACACCTATTTCTCTAAGGCCGTGATGTTGTTTAACCCCCAACCCGTTTAACCCGAATAATATATATTATTGTCGGTACCTGACCCTGAAACCGTCGTCGTTTGTACCTACCCTTAACACGACCGGCGTCTATATTCACCTAACCCGTTAAAAAATGATTATCGTTTATAAGCATTGTGTGGTGCCCGCCGTGGTCACGTTGTATAGCATATACCGTTAACACGTGAGAAATGTAATTATAATAATAATAAAAAAACTATTAGTTTCCAAACCCGTCCGATTGTTGTTGCTGTAATTATTGTCGTCGGGAACATCACTCTCGATTGTTCTTTGATTAAAATGATGGATTCGCCGACAATGATTAGGCTCGACTAAGACCGTATATGATCCCCAATCTCAGATAAATATATTATCATTATTATAATAATATCTCAACTCTAAAGCGCTGCTATCGTCAGGGCTAAAGCGACCTCTAAACAACCAATCTTCAGGACCACGTCTTGGGCACAGCTGACATAGGTAGCTACCTATAATAAGCTAGATTGCTAACAGTGTACTACTTACTTGCCATTTTTGTGGCATTTATATATGTGTATCTGTGTATCGTTGGTTTAAGTCGAAATATATTAATTTTAACACACACTTCGAGTTAGATTAGGTTAGGTTAGCCGAACCAAAGTGTTATTTGTTTGCTCTCCGCGTGGATTGTAATCGTTTGACACCGTCGTACAGTAGTGGCGACACTCGCAATAATAATAATAATAATAACAATGACACTAACAATAATGATAACGACGACGATGATGATGACAAGAATAAGAAACACCGGCCGTGTGGTAAGAGGCGCGAACCGGCCACTGGTAGTCGATATGATTAATGGAAAACACACCATATGGATCATTAACGTAAGCGGACTCACGTTGTGAACCGGTCTTGTGATTTAGGGGAATAAACACAAAATCGTCATTAGCTAGGACGATTTTGATATTTTTTTTTCCTCATCTTCACTTAAAAATTGTGTTTGAACCCAAACGTCGTCGTCGTCGGAGGAGGAGGTGAATAATATTTTTTTGTGTTGCCCGAACTGGGCCACAACTAGGTACTATATTACTAGTGGCACATATTATGTACCGTTTAAAAAAATGTTATATAGGTATAGATAAAATATGGAAGACGTATGAGAACGGACGAGTAGTGTGTAGAACGACGGAGACGTACAAGGAGCACAGCGAGTGAGAGTGAGCATATAGGTACACCTATATGTATGAATGTAGTAAAATATATATATATAAAAAAAAGCCCCCGACCCACTAATCATACTCTCGGCGGCCGTGCGTTCCAGAGCAATAAATTGCCCGGTCTAAACAGCGCCTAGGATCGTGGCCCAACGTGTTATTACTGTTCCGCTAATCAGTTTGATCATGTTATATACAAGCACATAACAATCATCCGTCCACGTCGTTATAACACACTGACCGGACGGGCCAAACCAGAAAAATCACGATTAAAAAAAAATCAAAAATCATGTTTCGGAAAAACAAAAAAAAAAATACTCCAAAACCGATGTTTCGAATCGTCGCACGCCCCGCCGAATAAACCGTCAAAATGGACCTTTACTTTTACACAGCTCTTGTTAGAATAATGCTCTTGTCAAAATGGCTGAATCAGCAGCTGTTTAAATCGCATTAATTAGAAAACAATCGTTAAAAATAGTCTAAAAAAACCGTCAGGAAATAGAACAGGCAAGCTACGGGTAATGTAAGTTTGGATAAACCCCCAAAAAAAAAATTTAAGGTTTTGCGACTACCTTGTAGTTCTTACAAAATTACGTCTAGGGTCAAGTGGGGTTATAATTGTAAACGAATGTAATTTCTCTCCTATTAAAATTAATAATAATTGTGTATAACCAAAAGCCTTCAGCTAAAAGTATAAATGGCAAATTATCTTCTAAAATGACAAAACTGTTCAGAGAAAATATTCTTAAAATTTATTTCAAAGTAAATTGCGACAAAATTTATAATAATATTTTTAACTTTATAACTTTAAACTTTAAAAGTAGGTACACTATTTTTGTGTATACAGACCATGTATTTCCTTATATCAATATTTTTTTTTTGCGCTATACTTATAAATCACATTTTAATATTGGTTCTCGTCATTGGCGGCGCTAAGTACCAAGTGTGCCCCAGGGATATGCCCTTTAAAGGGGTTACTTAACAATGGGGGAAAAAAAAAAAATTACCTGCTATCCGTCCCGTCGCCGCCGCTGTGTGTATTGTGTTCTTGTCGTGTGAGCCGGTTAAGTAAAAGGGCAAAGCGGAGAAAGCGCCGCCACCTTGTTGCCGGCTTAGGTCACATCTATAAACGGTCGGTCCCAGTCCGACTAGAAAATCGCTACTCATGTCTTCGACTTATATCGACCGGAGCCGTAGTGTTGTTTTCTTACGGTAAAAAAAAAAACAAAAATATTGTTCGGTTTTAATCGACTTAATATAATTACACCGCCGCCCAGACTCTATCTGCCAACATCTCTCCAAGCGATGATCAATGGTTCCTTGCCGTCCACTATGGCGTTTTGACACAATCAGATATCACATTCGTGTGTGCAGGATTGCACCGGGTTAAGTCGGCGGCCCCTCACAAGATAGATATTACCCACTAGATATATATGTAGTCATACCAGTTGTAGTATATATAGCACACAGTACACTACTATCTTAGGACTTAGAGCACCGCGTGAGCGCACATATACATACACGTGTACAAGATATATACTATACTGTATTTGTATATAACATAATATATTTGCATATTTGTGATATATTTTTAATATAACACTGTTTTTACCTTTACCTTGTACCTTGCTTGAAATAAGCGTTGATGGTAATTTTTTTTTGAGAACCTTGACCTTTCTTACCAATTTTTTTTTTATGTATTTAATTTTTTTACACACTCAAATTGTTACATAATACGATGATAATATATATTATACTATGTACCAGATATTACTCTTGAAAACTAGCAACGCGTCGAACGGGACAGCTGTTGATGATTTACATTAAAATAATAATAAATAAAAACAAGAGCGAATTAATTAATTATTTGTTTTCTTTTATTATTCACTGAATTATTTTTTTTTTTTTTACTCAAACAAGTTTCAGTCAATACGATTAACAAAAAAAAAAAATTATATCACAACAATTTTCTAATATCTAGATTTTATAGTCTTCGTACAAGAAATAAATAATAATAATAATAATAAAACAAATGAAAATAATGGCAATTTTCTTAGTTACATAATAATATTTTTATGGATATCAGATTTTACAATAATTTTTATGTCGGGTTAAAGTACAAGAAATGTCTTAAGACTAGGTAACTAACCCCGTGACATGAATTAATAATTTTTAATTTACCTACAAACCGACCCTGTGCAAATGGCACCTGCCTTTTTTTATATAAATTTTATAATCAATAAATATATTTTCGCTTGGACACTTACACAACATTTCGATTTGTAGAGGAAAATAGTTTGAAATAGTGTAAAAATTTTAAGTTATTTTTATTTGAAAGAGCTACAAAACAATAGAAATAGAAAAACAATCGATTTTTATCCTAATAGTAATGACTTGAAGGAGGAGCGGGAGGACTCTCTCTCTAAAATTTTAATATTCTATACAATTTTTTATTTTACAAAAAAAAAAAAAGGTTTTAAAAAAGAGGTTATCAAAAGACACATTTTTAATAATAATCGTACAAAATATATAATAATTACTCAGGAATGGTCGGTATTTTACACCGTATAATACACTGTACATTATAATAATATATTGTTTTTAATTTACAGTTAGTCACTATCTAATATCACAAATGTCTTTTTTAATAAAATAATAATAATAATAATAATTAAGATAAGTAGGTATTACGTGATCGTTGTTATATGTGTATGGCAAGCGGTCGCGAGTAGTTGTTGTGCACCCCTCTGTGGTGATGGTGATGGTGGTGATGGTGTTTATGGTTGATGTTTTTCGGCCTCTGGTTGTTGGGCACGTCCGGAAGCGCGAACTTGAGTTTCTCCCAAAAGTGCTTGTCGCCCCACTGCAAGTACGAGTTGGTCTTCAGGTACAGCCGGATGTCCGGGTCCAGGTCCTTGTTGGGCACCTCGCCCAGGAGTATGACGATCAGCCGCTTGCGCTTGTCCCGGAGCACCTGGTGATGGGCCGACTTGAACTCGTACCGGCACCACTCGGACTTGATGAAGTTCTCGGACAGCACCATTATGGTGCGCTTGGACGACTCCACCGCCTGGACGATGGTGTCGGATATGTAACCGCCGGCCGGGAATTCCCTGTAGTGCAGGCACAGCTTGTACGACGGGTCGCCGTTCTCCAGGATGGGCGCCAGCTCCTCGACCACGAACGCCTCGTCCTTGGCGCTGTAGCTGACGAACGCGTCGAACAGCTTATCGCGCTCGTCCATCTCGAACTCGGTGCTCTTGCAGAATATGCGCACGCCGAACCGGGAATGGCACCAGACTTTCATTTCGTGCCGGAAAACGTACACCATCATGGCGGCCACCACCACGAAGAACACGGCCGAGAACGACACGATCAGCACGGGTATGTAGTCCTGGAAGTCGGTCCGCTGAACGACCGTCTTGGTCGGGGCGGTCAGGTTGCCGCCGTTGAGCGCCCCCTCGATCGAGTTGGACGACAACGACGACCCGTTCGACGGTCGTTCCATGGACGGCGTGCTGGGCCCGCACGCGGCGCTGCTGTTGTCGCCGCTGATGAATATGTTGAAACCGCCCGAGTGGTCGACGCACCGCGCTTGTTCGGCGTCGACGACCGCGTCGGCCGCGTACACGAGGAACTCGCGCATTTGCTGAACGAAATCGCAACTGCAACTCCATTGGTTTTCGGCCAGCGTCAACTGAGTGAGCGTCGGCGACAAGCGCCACACCGGGAACTGAGTGATGCGGTTGTGGTCCAGCCGGAGCACGGTCAGCTGCTGTAGGAACCGGAAAGTCGTGCTGTTGATGTACGTTATCCGATTGTGGTTCAGATAGAGTTCCTTGAGCTTGTCCAATCCGTAGAACTCGTCACCGTATAGCGTGGATATGCGGTTATCGTCCAAGTGGAGCACTTCGAGCTCTTTCAGTCCGTGGAAAGTGCGGTTCTGCACGCGTTCCACGTTGGACGAGTTCAAGTAGAGCACTTTGAGAATTTTCCGGCCCAAAAAACTGTGCGTGCTCAACGTTCTGACGGTGTTGCCGTCCAAGTAGAGCACCGTCGTGTTCATCGGTATCTTGTCGGGCAAGCGGTTCACGTAGCCGGCGCTTGAGCAGTCCACGACGTTCGAAGTGCTGCTCACGCTGTGGAAGCACGTGCAGTTCGTCGGGCAAATCATTTTACAATCGCAAGCGTCAAAGTCGCAACAGTCGCACGTGCTCCGTTTGGCGCACTCCATGTCGTACTGGCACAGGAACTGATCTTCGGAAGCCTCTTTCAGCAACACCCTGGACTCGCCCCGGTTGTAGATCACTTCGCACGTGGCCGCGTCCAGGTCGACCAACTTGGGCTTGTTCCGGTCGGGCTCGACGCTGTACGACTGCAGCCATTGCATGGAACAGTCGCAGACGAACGGGTTGTTGCCCACCTGAAACTGCGGCATGGGCCGCCCCGGCGGTATGGTGGATATCCTTAGCGACTGCGGCGTCAGCGTCCGCAGCCGGTTGCCGGTCAGGTCGACTTGCGTGAGGTTGGGCTTTTTGAAAAACGCGTACGATTGGATTTTCGAGATCTGATTGTTGGACAGGTACAGGTTCTGCACCTTGTCCGGGATGGAACTGCCGGTGATTTCGGTCAGCTTGTTGTGGCTGGCGTCGAACCCGGTCAGCTGGGTCTCCAGCTCGTAGTGGTTGCCCAGCTCGGTGATCTGATTGCCGTGCACGTCCAGCCACTGGAGTCCGGTCGGGACGAGCGCGTAGTCGAACCACTCTAGGAAGTTTTCGGATATATTCAGCCAAACAAGGTTGGACAGTTTCGAAAAAAGGCCGCCGACATCGCGCAAATAGTTGCCGTCCACCCGGACGGCCACCAGGCGCGTGTTGTTGTCGAAAGTGCCTGGTTCGATTTTTTGTATTTTGTTGTTGGCCAAATTGATGAGGTGCAATTCGGGCAACCGGTCGAACACGCCTTTGGACACGTTGGATATTTGATTTTTCAATAGTTTCAATCCGATCAGCTGGTTCATCGCCGGGAACGACGTGTTGTATATGTCGGTGATCTGATTGTAGCCCAGGTCCAGCGTTTTCAGATTGGGCACGTTGTTGAGCACGGCCGGTATGTCGTACAGCTTGTTGCCGTTCAGATGCAAGTACTCCAAATCGGTAGAGTTGCGCAACGCCTCGGGATCGATGTACTGTATCTGATTGTTGTCCAGCGAGAGTTGATTTAACGAGGGCAGTCCGTCGAACGTGTATTGGTCGACCCGGGTCAATTTGTTGCTGGACAGCACCAACGTTCTCATGTCCGTCAGCGACGCGAACACGTTCTCCGGCAGGTACTGGACGCCGTTGTTGTCCAGCCGCAACGACCGCAGCCGGTATAAGTCGCGGAATATCACCGAGTCCAACTTGGTGATGTTGTTGTTGGACAGGCTGAGCAGGACTAGGCGCACGAGACCGGTGAACGTGGCCGCGTTCACCCACTCTTCCGTCAGCTGATTCTCGGACAAGTCCAAGACCAAAAGATGCGACAGATCGTTAAACAGACCGGGCGCCAACACGTTGATGGTGTTGTTCTGCAAGTAAACCTCGTGCAGTTCGCGGCAGTCGGCGAACAGTTCGGGCGCTAAGTTGACTAGTCGGTTGGAGGCCATGTTGATCACGTTGAGCGCGGACAGCCCGTCGAAACCGTGGTCGCCTATGACGGATATGACGTTGCCCTGCAGGTACAGCTCTTGCAGGTTGGACAAGTGCGACAACACTTGCGAGTTGATCGAGTCGAAATTGTTGTACGACAAGTCGAGCACTTGCAGGTTGCCGCCGCACTTGTGTTGGCCGGAAGAACCGAAATGGAACAGTTCCAGATGCCTGAGCCGGTTACGGGTCAGGTTCAGGTAGACGAGGTTCTGCAGCGAACAGAAAACGGCCTCCGGCAGTTTGGCCATGTTGTTGTGGCTCAGGTCCAGCCGTTCGAGCATGCTGAGCTCGTCGAGAAACGTGTCCGGCTGCAGCTGCATGTTGACGGACGGCCAGTCGTTGTTGTGCGTGACGATGGTCAGGTTGCGGAGCTGCCTGAGCCCGCGGAACGCGTCGGGCACCAGGTTGTTGAGCTTGCACGACTCGATGGACAGCTCCTTGAGGTCGATGAGCGTCTGGAACGTGCCCACGCCCAGCGAGCTGAGCAGGTACAGCTGTGCGTTGCACTCGATCCGCAGCTTAACCGTGTACTGCGGCTGGATTATGCTGAAGTTGGTCTTTTCCAGTTCCGAGTTCATCGTGCGCACCCGACAGTGCAGCGCCACTTCTTGTTCGTCGGACACCGTCTGCGACGCGATCGACTCGTCGCCGTACGCGGTCACGGCCAGCCACTCGCACTCGTTGGGCGGCTTGTGCCGCAGGGTCTTGCTGAGCGAGGCCGACATGACCAGCAGCACCGAGCTCATCAGCACCGTGGCGTACGTTAGTGCCATGATAACACCCGAGATTAACGGAAGAACACTTGGAAGGAAACGCACAAAAAAATGCCCGAAACACTTTTTTAATTCTATCACCTGAACACCATTTAGACAATTATTATTGTTCTCGACCGAGCGTGAGAGACATCAACGAACGGCTACGACGCGACCGCAACGACAACAACACTCGCAGCGAACGCACTCGACGACGGCCGGCGAACGATATAATCCATTTTTGGTGCCGAACGATTTTCTACACAAAATTCAACACCAACAGTAGAACGTAAAAATATTATATATATATATAAAAAAAAAAAAAAACTATTTTCCACGACGGACGACGACCAGCACACGTTAAACGACAAGACACGCACGCGCACACAAACCAAGTCGGTCGGTCGGCACTCGAAGACTGAATATTATGCGAGGACTGGTTGCCGCCGCGGCCGTACGCCGATCGCCGCAGCCGCGTTCCCCTTCCACGCGGTTAAACGTGATCTCGTTGTTGCTTCTCTACGCCTATATAACCGCCGCCAGGGTCGTCTTGTTTCCACGTACGCGCTGCTCCGGCCGGTACACTTTTAACACCTACTTAACATATATATATATAATATCGTGTCCCCTCCACACGTACGGTATAGGATAATGTGTATTTTCAGGTTCACCGATCGACTGTTGCTGCAGCATCGCCGTCGCGGTGCACTCTGCGTCAGTGGACAGCCGTACTCGGTCGGGTCGGCTCGTTAGACGATTGTCGAAATGCAGTTGTCTCATTCGAATAAGAAAATTGTCTTCCTATTAGGTGTCTACACGTGATGATGTTTTTCAATATAATTACTCGAAAAAAACAAACTATATAAATAATATTTTTTTTTTTTAATTATTCCAATAATTTGTTTATTCGAATAACTCTTACACGAATAACGCGTGTTATCTAGATGATTTTCAATTTAAAAATGTTTTAATGACAATGCGTTTATTTTTTTTTTAAGACGTTATTATTTTTCAATATTATTGGTGGCCAAAAAAACTGTCTGTGTGTGTTTTATTCGATGAAAAAAAAAAAAATTGTATTTTTTTTTTGCCCTGTCGACAACGGCGGCGCGTAATGAACGTTGACGAGTGGTCCACAACTCGTTACGATAATATTATTATTCGTCGTTGTTGAACTATTGTTATTATTGTTGTTAAACGACGGCAGGTAAAAGCGACCGAGGGGATATTTTTAACCCTCCCCCATCCTCGGTATAATATTATTATAATATTGCTCATGCGATGCTGTTGATGATGAGCGTTCGTGTGAACTCGGCGGAAAAAAAACCTTGTACGGCACAGCGTGCTGCCGAATCGATTTAAGTCGACAAAAACTATTGTCTTAACAGCCCATTATTGTGTTATAATGAGTAAATTCCAACCTGATCTGTATAACGTTACACGTTGGGCGTCAATCGTTTACCGAGATAATAATTGTATTATTATTATTAGTAAAACTCCGTCGACGCGTTCAGAGAGTCGGATAGGCTATATCGCGGGTATATATTATAACAGTTAATGTAATAAGACGGTCCGAATCGCTTGGACACCTCGGGCAATAGTCGAAACATAATTTCGGTCAATGCGTTAAGGCTCGGTCGGTAGAGTAAAGCAAAAGATTCAAGCTGAAGAAACGCTCGAGGATACACATTGATTTCGCACCGGCCTATTGTTAATAGGTATTTGCACGAAGCGTTTTAAGCGTGTCGTGGTTCGAACACATGTTATCTACAACAAGCCGGCCGACAGGTTTTTAAACATTCTATACCACAAAAAAAAAAAAAAAATCACACATTAAAATGTTTTTGGAACGAAGTTTCTTATTTTTTTATAACCACGGTCTTGCCCGGATTTATACCGGAATGCTTTTAGACAACAGCTGACAGTGTATTGACAAGGCACGACGAACAAGTGTAGCTGAAAAAAATATAATTTATATTTTAAGCAGCCGTTGATGGTTAGGTTAGGTCAATTTGTCTAATATTAAAATACACTTCTAGTAACGTAGAACCGCCCTCCTAGTGGTGTACGACACGAAAGAAAGACGTGTTGCCGTCTGAAACGAATTTCTCACTTGTTGTAGCAGGAGTTTGCTAATAACATGTGTAAGTATAATATGTTAATCCATACACAGGAATGTCTTGGCAACGGAATCGCTGCGTCGAATACCGTTTGGGTGCCGTCAAAAGGGTTGTTACTACAATCTAAAAAATAAGTATTCTTCTTTTTTTTTTTTCAACCGATTGAAATCTTGTAAGTACAACGCGTTTGCGACATATAGATCGTTTTCGGCTCAAGTACCCATCGACCACGTGTAACGTATACAGTTGCTATGACATATTCGCAGTATCCATTTCACCTGTCGGTCGTTTTCTTGAAAATATTTACTCTGCTCGTCCGTCCCCACTGACCGGGGCCACCCCGCAGCCCTGACCGATGTCCTCCTTTTGTATCTAATTTGACGTCTATATATTATCTTTACCTTTGTGCCGGCGCGGAGTCCGTAAAGGAACCGGCCGGCCCTCGTTACCGTTTCTGTAAGTGTATATACGGTATTTAATGAAAACGGAGGGTTCTGTTGTACTTGTAGACACAATATTATACTCTACTGAACTGCCCTCGACGACGGTTGCCCGGTCTTATATTATTCTTTTCCTTATATACATATTATAATATGCTTCGTCGACGACGACCCGTGCTAAAAACGTTCACCCTAAAAACCTTATGAACACCACCTGAACGATCGTCGTGCCAGGTGACGACTGCGGCGGTTGTAATAATTTATACACTGTTAAAAAATGCGTTTTTAAGTCTTGACAAAAAAAACGACCACTAGGCAGTACCACCGCTATATGATTTATAGCGACTCTCGCGGTGTGAGTTAAACGGTCCCTCCTTTGCCGTATACAATATAATATGTGTTCTCATATCATTAGACACGAAATTAGTGTGGTATTTTTTTACGGCCCATAAGTCACGCGCTTCATTTAACTGTTGCTTGTGGGATAAAAAAAAAATGCCAATTTTTTAATACGCCAAAATTCAGACCTCCGGCTACGACGACAGCCGAACGAATCCGAGTTGACGGCGTTCAGCTGTTGGCCGGGCCGTTGATTAATTTAAAAAGAAATGAAAAAAAAAACAACAAACCGACATTACAATAATATAGAACTGTCTAATCGCGCGGATAAAAACAAATCACTCGGTTTTTTTGGTTATTATTGTTGTTTTTTCTTTTTCCAATTACGCCGGCTAATGGATAGATGAGTTTATGTTGTTGTTTCAAGAGGGTTGAGTGGATTTTTTTTTTTTACAAGTGTGTGTGTGTGTGTACCGACCGAGTTGGACGGCAAACCCTTCAGCAGCCGTCATTATATTATCGGAACGACTGGCCCGGAGACAAGGCGTGTGTGTTGGTAATTAAACGGACGGTTATTTTATTTTTTCAGTTTTTTTTATCAACTAGGCTCGCTTCCTCGGAGGCATTGCCGGGACACCATAGGTAGGTACGCCGAACGACAGCGATCTGATAACGATATTATAATGCTCGGTTGTCATTAAACCCACACGTGGACCCGTGTAATTACAACGCGTACGGGAGGAGTTAACGATGTCGACAACCTTATAGGTAAAAAATTAAAGTATAGAAAGAGCAAAGAAAAATATAGGTATAGGTAATGTAAGTGCCTACACGCGGTACGCGCCGCCGATACACGAAAAATAAAAAAGCCACTGCCTTTGAGTCGGACGCTTGGTGTCTTAAATTCGGTCATTTGTTTGTGTTCAACGTTTATTAGTTGATGTTTACATTCTTTGAGATGCAAGGAAAAAAATACATGGTTGACCCGACTAAAATAAATGTATAGTTGAGCTTAAGCTAAATAATTAGTCGGCCTAACTATTTATTTAGTTATTCGAACTAAACACAAATGTATTGTGTCCCTACCATTAACTATGTCATTTTTTCGGTGTAGTTAAGTTTTACACAACTCACAGAAAACGAGTGACTTAATTTATGTCGTTTAATGTAGATTGTTATTAAACTATTTTCTAAAATGAGCAACTGAAAATCTCATCATCTTTGTAATTAAAGTGATTCTCTAAACAATTTTAGACTCCTTTTAGTTTTTTTTTTTTTTGGTATCCTTAATTGTATGTTTTCTTTAAACTTATTCAGAATAAAATAATTTTTATCAGCTTATTATTGTAATTAGTTTGAAACGAATTTTTGAAGGTTTTAACGGTTTTAACAAAAAAACACTGTTGATTTGTAAACTTCCTATTTTAAAATTTTTTTTTTTATACATAAATAAAGTTGTTTCAATATAACATAATCAACTTAGTTACTTACAAGTTGATGGAGTAAACTAAAAAACGTAACCTAACCTGGCAGATTTTTGTAACTCGAACTGGTTTACAAGACTGTTGAACAATATGTCCGCTTTCGGTCATCCGTTGATTGGCACTTGGCATTTTTTTTTTTTGTTCTCGACCTATACCATTGTTGTGTGGTCTTCTGCAATTGTCGGACTCGGACAATACAATTTCCGTGGCATATGTTTGATTAGATTAAATTGTACTCGAGTAATACGATATTGGGTCAGTTATTTAAAAAAAAAAAAAACTACCAGGAAAACGTTATTGGATTTCAATAAATAGAGAAATTTCAACATGCGGACTGTGTAAACAAACGCCTAAGTATATAGGTTGTTGTGGCGGTTTGAAAATTGCTTTTTGTGTTTGCGTTGCGGGCATAAGGTAATTTGCTAAGCCAAACAGAATGTGACTTAATTGAAATTAAAATCTGTTTAATAGGATTTCAGAGAAAAAAAAAATACCAATGTTCGTTTCTAAATATATATTTTATACTATTGCTGTGCACCAAAGGGGAAGAGTGTGGCCGTTTAACGTGCGGATTTTCAATTAATCTGTCCGTTTGTATGTACATACATTATTGTAATATGTTATCCCGGTCGATTCGTTGGAGCGAAAAATTCAATTCCCCTCACATAATGCGCTACAAACAGCAGGAGGACATATCGATAAGCCGCATGCCATCGGCCCGGTCACGAATCCCGTACATATTATTATACTTCCAAGTCCATTTGTCGATGCTTCTATTTATACTTGTGTCCGCGCACCCCTTTCGCGGATGTTGCGTGAAGTTCCAGGACTTGAGGACTTGTCTTAGACATACGAACATCCGAAGACGGCCGCAGTGGACCAGCTCTGATGATAACGAGTCTCGTGGAAATCTCGATTCGGTTAGGTTATAAATATGATTATAATATACAATACACACACGGCTGTGATCGTCTGTCGATAGAATGAAGCAAAAAAAAAAAAAAATATCAATATGGAAGC